CGCAACAAAAAATAGGCGGGTTTTGTGGTGGGTGCCTGTAGTCCCAGCTACTCAGGAGGCTGAGGCAAGAGAATCTCTCTTTTTTTTTTTTTTGCAGTTTTTGGCCAGAGCTAGGTTTGAACCCACCACCCTCGGCATATGGGGCCAGCACCCTACTCCTTGAGCCACAGGCACCACCAAGAGAATCTCTTAAGCCCAAGAGTTTGAGGTTGCTGTGAGCTGTGATGCCACAACACTCTACTGAGGGCCACATAGTAAGTAAGACTCTGTCTCAAAAAAAAAAAAGGTCCCAGCTATTTTTTAGAGACCTGCATTGTGGCAGGTGCCTGTAATCCCAGCTACTTGAGAGGCTGAGGTAAGAGGATCACTTGAGCCCAAAGAGTTTGAGGTTGCTATGAGGTATGACACCACGGCACTCTACCAGGGGCAAGAAAGTGAGACTCTGTCTCCCCCCTAAAAAAAAGTTTCTAAAACATTTCCCAAGTCATAGCTTCCCAGATGTCATCGGTTGATTCTTCACATTTTCCAATGTGATGATCAGTTTCAACCCCAGTCTGACGTGCCCTATCTGTAAGAACGAGACAGGGACTCAGCTTCCTTTGCAGTTCCTCCACTCTCCACCTTCTAACCTCACTAGGAGGGAATACTCACTTTCCCTGACTTCTGGCGTTTTCTGTAGTGGACACTGCGGTGGACCACCCAGACAGTCTGGTTCATACTGAAATGCTTATTCCTGACAATGGAGTGACCCACAGCCAAGTCTGTGCCCCCTACCTCTGCCAACCACCATGACTGCCTTCAGCGAAGAGAGTGACCTTCCCTCCAATGACTAATTGATAAAAGAATATATAAAACCCTGGTCCTCTTGGTCTAATCTGGGACAACTCTGAAGGGCCACGCCCTCTCTGGAGAATTCCTCCTAACTTTGACTGAGGCCTTTGTTCATCCACATGGTGGTTCAGCTTCTCCCCCTTCCCAGTCCTTCCTTCAGCTGCTCACAGGAGTTGATCTCCTAAGCAAGCTCCCCAAATTTCCCTTTGTGCAAATATCCCTCTCAGAGTTTGTTTCTGGAGGAGCAGGACCTAGGACAGTTGGTGCAGTCTGAGAAGGCTGGCTGACAATGGAATTTTGCAGCCAGATGACCTGCTGGCCAGCTGGCAGTGAGTGCCT